AAAATGTGAAAAGCTAAACTTCGGAAATGAAAAACAACTAAGCACAGTGGGAAAAGAAACATATGCATCTCTAAAAACTTTCTTATTTCTTGCCTATCGCTTGCCTAAAAATTCAGTTGGATAAAATACTGAATGAGATTGGTGTATTCTTTTGAACGAAATTTAAGGAGCATTATACCCACTGCTTGAAGGTGAAACAAAAAGTGAACGAGGCAATGACACAAATGCTTGGTAAAGAGGCTCACAGTGTTATCTTAGGAAATAAGTTGTACAAGGGCTTACAATTAAAGCAGCAGATCGGCAGAATGCCGCACCACTTGCATTTGCAGAATTGTAATCATCTTCTAGAAGTTGGCGTTCAGCCTCTGCAATTGCCAAGAGGCGAGGATCATGTAAATCCAAAGGAGTACCAGAGATTTGCCATCCTCCCCTGCACAACATATGAAAGGCTTAAAATTAAGAATAAACTGTAAAAGTGCATTGTCAAGCCTCATATGACTAATTCCATACAGAATAGGTAACATCACAACCAAAGAGGTCATCACATAAATCATGGTGAAAAGATTACAGAAAAAAGAAAATTTTCAAACAAGTTAGAGCTAGTCCACAAAAAACTAATGAAAGATGAACTAACTTAAACTCACCCAATATCAATAATTGTCTCCTCAGCCACAGTTCGAGGAGGTACAGTGTAGCCAGGCTGGTATTGCTGCATATTGCAATTGAAAATGAATTTTTTCAGAAAAGAAATAATCTAATGAGTGTCAAGATAAAAGGAAAGCCATTCAAATGAGTCAAACTCAGTCTCAAGTTCTCTGAAATCATCATGATAATGCTATTTAATTTTAAAAAAAGTTGAATGTCAAAGCATAATGGGATAGAGCTAAGCAAGAGGGTGGAAAAACTATAGGTGAATGCTCCAAGAGACAAATACATATCCGAATGTCATCGTCTTGAAAAACCAAACTAAGCTTAGATACTATCGAGAAGTAAGCAATTATATTAAAGGGTAAATTACAGCTATCTCTCTTCTAAATATCAATAAGTAAATCAGATCAGAACTGTGAGAAGATTATAGGGCCAAATATATATTGTTGTTTCATTGACCACTAGGCCATATCCTTGGGTGCTTCCACATCATTTTTGAACTAAAAAGTACTAGTAATTTATCATGTACTGAATCTTGTCCATTCAGCCTAATGTGACGCAATAAAGTACAATGTAGCCCGTGTAAAATCTGCAAGCCAGACATCTCGAGCAAATAATTCTCCACACTTTATCTCATGGGATCTAATCTCAATGGACTGTATATACCATCTAAACCCATCACACTTACCAAACTACCCCTAAGGGTAAAGGCTATTTCCGTTTCAAGAGGGGAAGAGAATCCTGTGATTGAACCCATTGGTGACGCAAGCAGGAGTACTCTCACATTTAATGGGTGTCTTTTCAAGAAATCTCATAATACACAAGAAAATATGGAAACCAACTGGGAGATTGACACATACCTGGTGGCAAATCTCACAAGTAATATCCCCCTTCTCATCGCACCAGTGTTGAACACATGCTCGGTGTGCATACTGCAGTTCGAGTTTTTTTCCACCAAAATAATTAGCAGAGAGACAAAGTGAAGAAAGAAAATAAAGCTAGAGAGACCAAACAAAAAAAAACGACAACACTTGAATTATCAGGCAATTAAAGAAAATTTGTGACCTAATGTATAATAAAATGGAAATGGTACAAAGAAGAGAGGTGCTACCATCTATGCAACTATTGTTCCCATAAGTAGATAAGCCATCAAATTGTCAGCATAAAAAGCTTTGATAGAATGAAGATGTATACAAAGAAAACAAATGCAACAGAAGAACGGCAGTGGCAAGCATGTTACAGCTATATATCATCAAGTTCTGCCGTTGAACAAAAGAATTCCTGAAGTTAAAGTAGAATGTGATATGACTATACAGATAGCAGGATATGTCCTGATAACACAGGAGTAAGGGTCATGTCTTGCTTAATTATGGTGAATAACCACAACTTAAGCCAAATCAAATTTGCTTGAGGTAAGGGTTACAACAGCCTTGAAAAGGGTTAGTTATATCACTACTGAGGCACCAAGAGAAAATGGAAAGAAAAAAAAACAACGCACCACCATCATGCAAAGACGC